TTTTTTTTCTTCTACAGGCTGGCCGGAAGCCTCGCAGGTGACAAGCTAGGGGTAACGAAGGGGGCCGTGTTGAACCGCGTCGTATCGACGTGCCGTGGTGAAATGGTGTTGTCCAGCGGCAACGGCAGCGACTCCTGCTTCTCCTTTGGGCAGGTGTGGGCGACGCGACTTGCCGACGGTCACACACCGACGCTGCGCGGCGTGCCCAAAGTGGACCTGCACTGCCACCTCAACGGCAGTATCAGTGCCCCGTTGCTCGCCCATCTTGAGTCCCTCCAGCAGCGGGCGAGTGGAGCCGGCGCCAGTAGCACCGATGATGCTGCCGCGCACGGGGGTGCGGAGCCGCCGCCGCCAATCGGTCGAGACCTCAAGAGGGCGGAGTGCATTGTGGAAGAACACTCCAGTACAGCCGAGCGTATGCAGTTCTGCTTCTCGGTCTTCAGTAACATCTACAAGGTCATGAACAACATAGCCTTCGCGCGGCTGGCGGTGCAGGACCTGCTGATACACTCTGCGGCAGAAAATATGTTTGCACTGGAGATACGCACGTCTCTGCGCCACGGGCTCTACACGACACCCAGCGCCGCCGCACGTGGCGTCGAGGCGGAGCGTGTCACAAAGAAGACCTATCTTGAGACGGTGATTGGCACCGTTGAGCACCTCATGTACGGCGGCCTGGTGGATCTGGTGACGGGCGAACTGCTGCCGATCGGTGGTGCGGTTCCTGCGGCGTGGTGGTCGTACTTTGTGGATTTGTACGGCTCCCTCATTTCAGATACGGTGGGGCACGCGGATGTGAAGGGAACACCGGCGGTCACAGTAACAAGAGAAGCTGCGGCGGCCTTTTTGGAGGCCATTCAAACTCATATGACGCACCGCATACACATCCGTCTCCTTGTGTCCATTAACAGAGGTGACGACGTCGTGGCGGCGAATGAGGCGGTTATGCTCGCCAAGGAGCTGCAGCGCGAACAGGTGAGCCGCTTCTTCACCGCGGCGGCGGTGGATGCAGCGCGGCATAGTGTGGAGCAGTCGACGAGGTACCTGCAGCTGCGGGACATGATCCGCCGAAGCTGCTGGGTGAGCGGCATCGATTTCTCCGGCCACTGCGCGAAGAATCACTTCCGCGACTTTCGCCCGGCGCTCGAGGAGGCGCGACGCGGCGACGGTGCCACGTCGTACCCGTCGCTCGGCATCACGCTCCACGCGGGGGAAAAGGACGACGCCGGGGAGCTGGCGGAGATGGTGGCGTTTGCGCCGGAGCGCTGGGGCCACCTCGTCTTCACCGACCCCGCCAACCTCGGCGCCATCATCGCGCGGCACGACGCGATTGAGCTCTGCATCTCCAGCAACGCCCTCACCGGTGGTTACACCGGCGTGGCGCGCCACCACCTCGGCTGCATTCTGGAGGCGCAGCAGCAGCAGAAGACGGAAAATGGGAAGTCCCCTGACTTAATCGGATTGCTGACAGATGAGAGCAGTCTCACAACAACAATGCGGTGGCGAGAGAAGCGGCGCCTCTCCCGCTGGCTGCGTCAGCCCGAAGCTGCAGTGGCAGAAGCAACAGCCGAGTGGACCGCAATTCCAAATGTGTCCTTTCATACCGATGATCGTGGCGTCTTTGCCACGTCAGTGACGAAGGAATTGGAGCAGCTGCTGCAGCACGGGAGCATGACGGGACGAGAGACAGCGGATATGACCCCAGTGATGGCCTTGTGGGCGCTTCAGCGGCTTGCCGTGCCACATATGTTTGAGCTTCCTCTCGAGGTGGTGTACTTTTGCACACGAATGGATGAGTATAAATGCGACAGTACTGATGCCTGCAGCACTGCGGCGCAGCTGACGGCGCGGGTGGCAATGTTAAGCGATGCTGAACGTGCCAAGTTGAGTCGTATTGAGCTTGGCTGGCTTCTGGGCGACTTTGATGATGTTGGGCAGTTAACTGGAAGGCAACGAGGGTCAGGAATGTGTCGATCAAGTTGAAGAAGGAAAACGCGAATAATTAAATATGCCGTTGAGCATAGATGTTTTTGTTTCCTTGCTTTTTTGTTGTTGTTTCGACTGCCACACTCCTGACATGCGTCCACTTTATTCTCTGGAGGTTGTTGTTGATGATGATGTAGCGCGGTTAGCGGTTGTGTATGTGTGTGGTATTTGTCTCTATCACTCTCACTCCCACCATCGTTCCTTCTCTCTCTCTATATATATAAATATATATGAGAGCCACTGCTGCTTTCATTGCTCCCTTCGCGCTCCACTGCGGCCAGTAAGATCGTGTGGTGTGAAGTGGGGGGGTGGGGGCACATAGACCGCAACTCTTGCACAGGAGAGAGAGAGAGAGAGAGAGATACACAACGACACATTTATATATTTATAGACATACACGTGCGAGCGTTTCATTTCCTGTTAATAGAAGAGACTAGCGTGCCAGTGCGTGAGTGTGGTGTGTATTCCTAGTGCCGCATGCCGCCCAAAAAGAAAGGCAGCGGCAATACAAACAGCAGGCGGCGGGGTAGGAAGACTGCGACGCCATCGCCGCGAGCGAAGAGTAACGCGTCATCGATGAGAAAAAGTGATCGACTGCCGGAAGCAGCGGCTTCCGTCTCCGCGCAGATGGAGGAGGGGCCAACAAAGCGCGCACGCATGGAATGTGTGAAGAGCAACGCCGACGACAGCGATGAGGACATCACACTCGAGCAGTTGGGAAGCTTGTTTCTCTGCGGAAGGTCACACGCACGCCACGAGTCGTTGCTGTCATTGACGCCGACCGTCGCGGTGGGGGCCGCACCACTCACGTTGTCCTCGTCGTTAAGAACGACGACGACGACCACAGCAGCAGCAGTAACAGCGGCCGAGGAGGGAGAGGAGCGAGGGAGCCATTCCGAGCCTGGAGCGGCACTGCCGTCGTCAACGGTGACGCCGCCACGCGCGGGCACGACGAGTCCCGCACGCCTGACGAGCAGCAACGGTCGCATCTCGTCAGTGCTCCCCTCCAGCGTGAGGCGCAGCGGCGTCCCGCACGCTCAGTTTCAATCGTCGTCTCGCCGCGAAGGCATCTCGTGCGACCGCGACGTCAGCAGCGAGAACAACTTGGACATCGATAACATGGGTCAGGGTGGCATTGCACTTAGTCCAGTGGAGCGGCCGTCCACCGCGCTGATTCGCAAAGCAGCAGCCACGCGCCCCGCCGCTTCTCCCGCGACGCTGTGGATCTGCCTGGACGATGACAACGACGAGGATATCAAAGTCCTCTCCTGTCCACCGACGCCGCCACGGCCATGTGGCGTGGCGGAGGGTCACGCGGTGCCTGCGCTCGCCACTTGCGAGTCGCCGCTGTTTCGGAGCACCGTGCCGCCGGCGCCGCGGCAGGAGCCCATTGCGGAGGTGCTCCCGCCGACGTTTCGCCCGCGAAAAGGGCCGCTGCAGGCGAACAAGCCGCCACCGCGGACAATAACTCCGCTGCCGAGTGGTTTCTTCATCCACGACGACGACTTCACCGATGATGATGAGGACGCAGACGGTAGTCGTGTGGATGCTAGAAGCAACGCGCCACCGTGCCCCCAACAGCAGCCGTTGTTCCCGCCGATGAGACATCTTGATGTTAGTACCACAACACGGACGAGCTTTACCACCCTTCCTTACATTGCAAGTCAGTCCTTTATCAAGGATGATGACAACAGTAGTAGTGGCAGCGGAAGCTTGATTGAAGCGAAAGACTTGGACAGCAACAACAACGATGACACAGCAAGGCAAACGGTGGAGGGTGATCAAGGGTCCTTTTCGTTGGCTCCCTCTTCCCTACTAGATGAAAATGCCTCCTTTGCCTCAGTCCCCACTGGTGTTGGAAGTTCAACGCGCAGCGTTCGTGACTTTCTCTTTTCCTCGCGTCGTCATGCGTCGGGCGAGTGGGGCGACTCGTCCTTTAGTTCCTTTGCCAAAGCCACGACGGTCGGTGCCGCAGAACCGGCGGCGGTGGCGGCGGCAGCAGCGGTGGCAGGAGCTGCAGGAGCAGCAACCAGCGTGGGGGGAAGTGGTAATGGCTCGGATGCGGATTATAAGCGAGCAGTTGAGAGATTAGAGCCGCTCTTCAAGAAGCGATTCACCCGCAAGTGTTTTCTTAGTACGGTGGAGAGTGTTGTGTCGAAGCTGCATTGTCTCGAGCCCGGTGAATTCTGGCAGGCGTTTGAGAGCGCCGAGTACGTTGGAGAGGGCAGCTTTGGCCTCGTGTGGCGTTGCCGCACCGTTGACGGCGATCTTGTTGCGGTCAAGTCGTGTCCCATCAGTTTCCACTCGCGTGGGAGCATCGACGACGCCTTTTCGGTGCTGCGCGAGATTGCGATTATGCGCTTCTTGAGTGAGCACGAGGTGCCGTACGTCCTCCCGCTGCACAGCGCCTTTTTTGTGCAGGCGCGCGAGACCCTTCCGCCGGATGTTGTCGCCGCGGTGGAGTGGAAGGCGCGGCTCGAGGAGGCCGAAAAGGAGCGCCAGCGACAGCGACGACTGCGGCGGCAGCAGCACACCCGGCGGGGGCGGCGGAACCCGCACGCAAATGAGCAGGCGGTGTTGCTGGGGGAAGAAGACGAGGATGAAGGGGAGGCGAACGCGACGGAGACGGCAAAGGAAATAGCAGAACGTCTGCGACACGAGAGGGTACGGATGCCACGATTTCTGTCGATAACGGTGGAGGACGCGATGGAGTGCGATGCGACCGCTTTCCTCGTGACGGAGTTGTGTGACGGGGATCTGGAGAGCATTGAGCGGCACGACTCTATCACGAAGGGTGTTGCCTTTTGCGTTGGCTCGGCGCTCGCGGCGATGCATCAGCTCGGGCTCGTGCACCTTGACCTCAAGCCGAGCAACATTCTGTTTGCATATGAGAATAGTCCCTCTCAGCAGCAGCAGTTGCAGCGGCATCTGGTGGCGATGCATTCTGCAAGTACACCTCCTTCAATTTCTTCGTTGTCCCCGGCAGGAGGAGGAGGAGGAGGAGCGATGCGTGTGGCCAACACAGTATCGACCCCGAACTCTGTGAAGTTTTACCTCAGCGATTTCGGTAANGTTGCAGCGGCATCTGGTGGCGATGCATTCTGCAAGTACACCTCCTTCAATTTCTTCGTTGTCCCCGGCAGGAGGAGGAGGAGGAGGAGGAGGAGGAGGAGCGATGCGTGTGGCCAACACAGTATCGACCCCGAACTCTGTGAAGTTTTACCTCAGCGATTTCGGTAACTGCCGCATTGTTGGTCCAAATGTGATGGACGAGGTGACGGGTGTCTTTGGGACGCTGGAGTACATGGATAGCAGGGCCCTGAAGGACAAGACCTGCAGCCGCGCCACCGATTGCTTCAGCCTCGGTGCCACTCTCTATGAGCTGCTGTACTCCCGCCGGTTGTACCCGCCCTGCAGGAACCCGAAGTGTGTGTCGGAGGACGACCACACACGCCACTGCTACGTGGAGGCGGCTCAGCAGATGGTGGTGATCGCGCCGCCGCCGGCCTCCACACCGTCAGCGGGCATCGTGCAGAAAGTACTGGGGGGACTCCTCGCGCTCGACCCTAGGGAGCGCTGGACAGCGGAGCGGTGTCGTTCCTTCTTTTTGATTCACGGCATCGCCGGCGCCCCATCAGCAACGCCGCCCTGATGGGGGCTCCCGCAGCCACAAGAAAAAGAGACGATGGCGGGTCTGCGTTGAGAAGCACAAAACGAAAGATAGTGAGAGAGAGAGTGTGTGTGTGTATGTGTGTGTGTGTG